TGAAGAACTGACAGTGGAGAGAAGTTTTGAGACACATCTTTAGCTCTCTGGTATGAGAACTTAGTTTTTGACACTGGCACCATGCTCATAGTGCCACCAGGTAAGTAATTCCACTGGCATGGACACAGAGGAGGAAGGATGTTAAATATCCTCAAATTTCCAGAGCTGCTTTTTATCTAAGACCACTTAGACTGAATAAAAATTGGCCACCAAGTTGCCTAGGCTTTGAAAATGCAGTTGTGGTGAGGAGGGATTATAACAAGCCTTAGTTCTTCCTATCTTTATTTGGAATTTCGTGATGTACAAAAAAAGGTGGATGTCACCCCAAGCTTTTCTGTGGGAGTGTGAATGTTGGGGCAGCAAGGGAGTTTGTTAGGTTGATCTTTGTTATCCTAAATACCCAGGTGCATACCTTAAGACTAGTTACGATGCATTCAGGATCTGCATGTCTTTAAAGTGCTGCAAAAATATCCTCTGTAATTTTATGTACCTAAAACATCCTGCACTCATTCCAGAAGGGCATGAGGCTCCATTAGGTGTTGTCTAATATCTGTCCAGGTCTGCAGGATTTCTTGCATGGGAATAAATGTCTGGTTTGGAACAATATAAACCCACCCCCAATTACAAGGGGACAAAGAAATACAAAGGTATCATTCTAAAGAAAGATCTGTTCTTTTCAACCAGAGAATCCTCAGTTGTAAATGTAGGGCCAGAAGAAACTGCCAGATTCCATTAATTTAACATCACTCAATAATGATTTGAGGATGGTATTTGTCAAAAAAAAAAAAAAAAAGAGAGAGATGTAAAATATCCCATAGAGACTATTAGAATTTGGCAAGAAAAAATGACCAACAAAACAGTCTAAGAGCTGGCAGGTGGACAACTGAGCAATGGCGTTGCCATTTCAGGCATTTACAGAAATCCTGATATGATGCTTTTTTTTTCTCACAGACAGGGTCTTCTGTTTTTTAAAAAAGTTTAGTGTGTTGGTTCTTCTGCTGACAAGAAAAGGTTTGTTTCTAATCCACTGAAGGTAGCATACAGCTCATTGACTATAACAAGATATTCCTGGTGTATGAAAACTTTTACAGTTCATTACTCACATTACTAAAACATCTTCACTGACTTTCCCACAATTTGAGTTAGAGCACAATTAATTTGACAAAAGAAAGGTATTAGCCTTTTCTTCTCCTCTATCCTGAAACACTTTAAATCATTCTTTCTCTGTTTTTCCTGCCTATCTATCCTGTCTGATATCCTGATGCAAAATTACATGGAACTTCAGTTGAGTGAAGTTTCCATGCTGTTCAATGATATCTCTTTTTCTAGCTAAGGGTAGGATCACATTTTCAAAGATGCACAAAGGCTTTAGGATTATGTTTGACAGTAAAAGATATTAGGCCTTAAGCATCTAAGTCACCCAGTGTCTGTTGAAATACTTAATATGTTGAAGCCAAAATTTCCAGAATTTGCACAACCTGACCCTTTTGTTCCTAAATTTGGATTTCTTTGGGAGATACTAACATACATTTTAAGGCGCTAAGAACTGACATACTTTATTACCCAAGTCTTTTGAGAATCCCCAAACACAAAATTATGTAGAAAACGTGCATTAGTAGTCACTATAGGATATTCAAGGCATACTCTCCTCTTCAGGGCTCAGTTAAGGACAGATAAGGGTTTTGCTTTGCTTTGCTTTTGTTTATTCTAGATAAAACTTTCATTAAGAAAACTAAGGCCCATAACATTATAGGATACATAGCTCTTCCCATGACTTTGTAAGATTAAAGGGAACAAGAAGTACAACTATTTGTACTAATAAAATGCTCCTGCCAGAATGTAATATAAAAATCCCTCCCAAAAGCAAGCAGTTGTAGGAATTCATAGTGGGACTTCTGGGGTCTGATAAAGAAATAATTCTGCTTTATTAACTACAACTGCACAGTGTACATTTGTTCTCACTGGGGGTTTTACCTAGTGAGTTATGCCAGAGAAGCAGCTTCATTGTATACCAGCTGTTTAGAAATACTGGTGATCAGAAAACATGAAAAGCCTCTAAAGATCTTCTCAGATAACAAAGAATGCACAGGACTAAGAGGCACTGGCAAACCTATGTTACAGCACCTGGAAAGGAAATGTATGTAGGAGGAATAGGAAAATGAGCTTTTTGATTTATGCGTTTTAACTGTGTGTTACTGCTGGTCTTGTCTTCGGGAAGGGGACTCAACTGACTGTGGAACCAAGTAGGTATTCTTTATGTATTAACATTTTCTGAGTTGTTATTGTTTGGATTTTCACTTTTTTTTTCTTTTCTTCCTCCTAAAATTCAGGCAGCCACTGCCTCATGCTTTAAAGTCACTAATTAGACCTTAGGCTTTCTATGTATAACATCGTTATATGCAATTAGACAATTTGAGTATAAAAAACATGCTGATCCACTCCTGCCATCGTGCTGTATTATTCTTGGGACCTAACATCTGTCCACTTACTCAGGCATCTTAATAAGCTTTTCATAGTAATTGTTAGGTTTTAAAGTCATGCTTGGACAGTCCAAAGAGAAATAAAGTTTCTGTGGAGGTTAATGTTTAAGTTCCTAAGACTTTCTATTCTGTCAGGGTTAGAAAGACAGCACTGAAAAGAGAGAAGGATAATGTACAAAAGCATGAAATGGAATCTTATGCAACATTTCTGTACTAGTTTAATCTCACTAAATTGTTCAGAGTTTGGGTTAAACTGAACAGGTCAAGTGAAATCAATGAATGTTTGATTCCTGTTTGGTATCTGTTTGCTGTAGGTGTTGATAAGCATGGAGTTGTGCATGTTTTATTAGTCGAGCCAACCCATGAAGTTATGGCAGAGTACTACGTGGCTTTCACCTCAGTTCCTCAGTATTGGGGTATGGGCAGTGGGGAAAGAGAGTAAAATCAGAGCCCCTTGATCAAACCTTGACAAAATACCCTGTGATGAACAAAATGTTAGACATGAGGGATCTCTTGACCAAACTGCAAGGCAGATGCCATGCAAAATTCAAAGCCTAATACACCTCTCTTTAGCAAAGATACCCATCAGGATGCTCCTGTCACATTGGGCATGTAAATATTTTTTGAGATGTCTAAGATGAGACCTTTTTGGCAAGGAAGCATGCTAGATGATCCCCTTCAGTTTCATGGTTTTGTTATAATTCATGTCACTAATCTTGTCCTGACATTGGTATGTGGAATCGCCCTAGTTTCTCCACCTATGACCTGAGGGCAAAGGTATTTTATTTTAAAAAAAAATCATGATATCATAGAGATTTGTTGGCTACTAAATTATTTTGAGACCAACTGTTTCCTTAAAAGACAACCCCTTCAAGTTTAAGTGATCTTATTTTATTATTTGTATATCTTATAAGAAATTCCCAGAGAAGGCTGCTGCTGTGTAGCTGAAATTCAGGCTTTTGCAGTTGTCAAGCTTTTGTATTTCATGTATGTTGCTTGGAATTGGGAAATCAACTCTGAAATTATTTCAAAAGTGAAAAAACACACCTAAAAATTTCAGAGTAACTCTTCTGAAAGATGCATGAGAGAGTAAGGATCCCAAATCCTGTGAAAACTTGTTAGCATCTTATAGATTCTTTCAAAACTCCAGTTCTAGGGCACATTTTTCATGCTTTAATGTTTGTTGGTATGTTAATGCTAAGGGACTACCACTAAAGGTTATTGCACTAATCTAAGGAAGATTGTAAGAAGATTTGTCCATGGACATCAAGTTCATAGGTGTTCTTCCCTTCAAATCAAAAAGAAGATTTGTCCATGGACATCAAGTTCATAGGCCTTGGGGTGTTCTTCCCTTCAAATCAATTTTTTATACAAACTCTGCATTATAACTCTAACTGCTCCTGGAGCTGTGGGACTAACAATATGACACAGCACATGGATGAGAGAAAGGTCACACTTTCTGGAACAGGCACAAGAATTTTTTTTGAACCAAATTCCAATCCTATTCACTTTTCATTGTCTCCA